ATCAAATCAAATTAAACACAAATATTTGAGAATTTTTTTTGCTACTCTTTCTGACGATACATAAGTTCAGTATATTTTTCTTTAAGTGAAATCTGAAAATAAATCTCTTTATAATTAGTTATCCTATTTCTAGCATTTGATCTGATTTTATATATGGATTGAGATTTACGGAGTAATTATCTGTTATACTCTTATTTTACTCTCAAATCCGTTTTAGGCGCTCATAAAAAATAGTGGTTTTCATTTTTCGCTAATATATTCACAATTATATCAATTATTTAAATCTTGTTGAAATTTTTAATTAATTATTTTTTGTTAATTAATTTTATTTTAATGAAATGTGTGAACAATTTTTGGCATTTTTCATAATATGTTATGTTGTTGTTTTTATGAGCAGGAATGCACACAAGCACTTTTCAAACAAACATGTACTTTACAGTATACAGTACTTAAATTTCAAATTTTTCATTAAGTTATTTCAGTATACAATAGGTTTGAAAAGTAAAATTATTTTCACACGATTTTACATTATTTCGCTATTAATAGAGAAAATAATAATTTTCTTATTTCTATCGCAAAGAACTTGAAAATTATACTTGTATTCAAGTGTCGGCCAAACATAGGGCTCAGCATTTGAGGTGTCGGTGCGAAACGTTACGAAACAAATGGACACAATTTTCCTTTTACTTAACAATCCAGTGATCGTCACTATTGTTGTGAAAGTTTGTGTCACTTCAGTCCAAACGCCAGACATATTGTTTAACACTGTATTGTTTGTTTGACCCGAAAGTACACTTGTTTTTTGTTTGACAAACTTATTTTTCTCCCATTATTTCAATCAACAGAGAGCGAGAGAGAGAGAGAGAGAGAGAGAGAGAGAGAGAGAGATTCATTAAAATTAATTTTTAATGTTCAACACTTAACTCCAAACCCAAAACTCGGAGATAAGAAATTATTCAAAAAAAATGTATTAACTTTTGTTTTTGTCATTTAATTTCAATTGCTGTAGACATGAATTAACCGCACGACAGAAGCCATAAATACATTTAAATGCCATAAATAAGCAAATATTAATACTTGTCAGACAAACTACTGTCAGAAATAATTATCTTTGTAATCATTAACTTTTTGTATCAATTTTTTTTGTTTGTTTAGAGTATATTTTGGTTCAAAACTAACATTTTTTTCTATTCATTACAAGAATGTAAGCATTTTCTTCAAGCATTTCTCTCATTAAGCTTAGGATACATTAAATTAGTATTATATTATTTGCATAAAAATTAAGTTCAAATTAAATGTTTATAAAACTAGTGTATAGTTACGGACCTAATTCTCTAAACATTATCTCATAATAATAAGTGAATAGATATTAGTTGTCAAATAGTTTTTTGCCGCATATATGAGAATCACATCAAAAATCGCTATCAAAATCACATCAAAGAATTGATGGTTTAATTTGGAGTCATTTTAAGTATCAAATGCTTAAATTTGGAGTTGAGTTTTTTTGATAGTCTTAAACGTTAATCTCATTTATATTTCGTGTGTAAATATCATCACTAGATATCACAATACGATTACATCGTTATATTCTGGCCCTCATTTGCCGGCGAAAAGGCAGCAGAAATTTAAATTCAAATAATATATATTTAATTCACTTAAAGAGAAACAATTTTTTTTCAAGAGCTCAGCACTGAATTTACTTTTAATGTACTTTTTATGTATATTTATAAATACAGTATATATTCTCTTTCATTATTCAATCGTTTTTATTTCTATTTATTCATTAAAATTACACATTTTTTAGGGGTTTTGCTGTATTTATTTTATGGACATTTCTGTGCCATATTTTGAAGGCTTTCTCAGTAACCCGAAGAGAAATATACGGAGAAAATGTATATAAACTATAATATATTAGCGAAGATTAATGCGATATTAAGTATTAATTCAAACATTTCCATTCACTTTGCATTCTTTCGCCATTCATTTGTTTTGTTTGTTTTTTAGTACAAATAAATTGGGAGTGAATTAAATTCCTTCATTCAATATCAGCAAAAAAAATTATTGTTGTTTTATTTTATTAAGACATTAAACGGAATTGTATGTTAATTATAAATATTTGATAATATATTTTCCAATGCATTCATGCAGTTGTGAAATATTGGAAATATAAAAATTGTTTCATAATTTATAACAAACCACTGGTCTTTCGGCAAATATAAAGTAGTTGTGCCCACAATTCAGTCAACATTTCTCTCATGTCTTATATTTTGAATTAAGATTTTCATCTGAAAAATGAGTGTTTATTTTATCTTTAATATGAGCTAAACATAAAAATGCATTCAACAAGAGTTGTGTTTCATTACATATAGTTTTTCTTCAATTTTAGATAAATTCTTCAAAAATATTTTTGCACTAAACATGGCTTTGGGGGTAATTCTGGTATAAGCTATATATTAATTGTTACATCAGTTGTTTTGCTCACAGAGTAACGCATTATCGAAATAATATGTGTTTATTTTTGCAGTTATTTTGCAGTTATTTTGCAGTTATTATACCAAATTAAAGCATGACTTTTGCATAACTCTTAAGAAACGGTAACTTAATTAGGAAAATAAGCATTTTTCCTAAAAATAAAACAAGAAAAATGAAACTAAAATCAAAGCTAATATTTCATTGACTTATAATTTATTCTGGTTTTTATAAAAATATATACAAATATGTGTATAAAAATATGTTGAAACTTATGGGCATTTACTCTGATTTCTTGAATACCATTAATCATTAACTCATCAAAGAATGAAAGCAAAAATCTAAACACAATAAACATATTATAGCATAACTTTTACAGTTAAAAAACACTTCTAATTGTTTTCATTCTTCTTTATTACAGCAAAACTTTTATTTATTACAAATTCTATACATTTTTTCGCACTCTTTTTCAAGGATTACAAATAGTAATAAAAATATGTTTAATTTCGTTGACTTCAATTGCAGGCAATTATAATATACATAATAATGTATACATCAAAAAGAAACTTTTCTATGCAATAAACAAAAATATAGTTCAAAGCGAGAGAGAGAGGGGAGAGAGAGAGAGAGAGAGAGAGAGATGTTTTATATAAAAAAATTAAATTCAGATTTTAATCAGTAATTGTGTACTTATTGTGTGACACAAAGATCTACTGAAATAGTGATAAATTGAATTATCATAAAATTGATGCCATAACTGTTGTGCCATAACTGTTATGCCATAACATGTTTCGTGATTTTAATCATAGGCTACAAAAGGAAATGATATAAAAATATTTTTACTTTTGATATATATTTTTTCGAAAAACATTTTATTGTTATATAATTATATAGAGTTTAGGACTCGTTATTCATTTAATGAGTTTGTTTTTGGCCCTAAAAATAATTCTGACTGAAAATTAACAATAATTGAAAAGGAGTTTAAAAACAATTTTTAGGTTATATTTGTTGTTTGAAAAGACCATTAAAACACTGTAACTAATGTTTAGTTTGGTTTCTGTTTTACTATAATATTTATTTAAGTTTTCATTTCTTTTGTTTAAAAGTTAATCTAAAAGTTTATTTCTCTTTTTGATCATTATTTGCACTAAAAATAAGGCCTTAAATGTATTTTATGGCAACAATTATACAATTGTGTCCAATAAGTCACTATAATTTACGGTATTTTAAGTGCTGTAAAATATACTTATTTTTACATTAGTTGAGCAAATGTTAGCATTTTGTTTGTTATGAGAACCACAAGTCCTTTAGAGCTCATGTTATGTACTTCAGAAGTATGAACATTATGTTATTTCCATAATGTTTACCTGTAATTTTTACTATACCCTAGCTAGTTTAGATGATAATTGTCAACAATTTTCCAAAATTACTGTACAATGACTTCTGTACACAATTATATTGAATCCATTTTATTCACAGTCGTCTCCAATTGTATCTATGGTTTTGCTGATTCATTGTATTTGCCATTTATTATTATGCATTGTTTGGTTGCTTTAGAGTTTGGGCTAAAATCAGTTAAATTAAACTTAATAACAAACTGAGCAAAACAAGTGATTTGTCACAAAACAAAAACAGGTGCTAACAGTGCTAACAACTCCAGAGCCACTCTTTTCTTATTTGTTTTATACTGTTTTTTGAAGTATTGTTTTTAAACCGTATATAACATGACATATAGAATGAGAGAGAAAAAAGCAAAAAGATAAAACATTTTAGTTAAGCTCTAATTTTAGTTGTTTTAGATTTAGATTAAGTCATAATTTTGAAAGAATATATGACTTATAAAAGACTCGTTGGACTCTATTTTGTTGGGTTGTCTTTTGAAGACAAGTTTAGGGCATTTGAGATATAAATGATTTGTTGTTTTCTTTCTTTTTGCTCTTCTCTTTGATAGCAAATGCTTTTTTGTGTGACAGTCAGACAAATGGCTTACAAAAAAGTAATTTGAATTTAATTTAAATTAATTGCCACTCAAATAGGGTTTCTAGCATTTAATCGATGAGCACTAATATATACGGAATATTTATGCAAATCTTGTTTTCTCAATATTTTCGTTGCATTACTTCCTATCGATAAGAAGTGGAAGAATATATTTGAGGAAAACATTTACCATTTTTCTAATCGATTAAAGCATTGAATCAATTATGAGATTTTGATTTATAGATTAGAAAAATAAGACAAAATAAATAACAAAACATTTTTACTGATCACTCGAATCGGAAGCAATTTAATAAAATAATTACCAAATGATTGATTTGAGATAAAAAACAATTAAAATCCGTTTTAACGATTCATTCACTCATTGATTATGTTTTTCATCAATATTTAACAACAATTCATATATGAAGAAGTGGTTTATAGGATAGTTCTGCAAATTAATTGCAAATACGAATGACTTTTAAAATTTAAATGATAATCAATCACTAAATGTGTACAAAAATGTAAAATTAATTTCAACATAAAGTAATTGTATTGAATTTAAATGACAGAAAAGTCAATATGGAATGGCATTCCCTTTGGAGGAATCTTCGCCACTCAATGGAGAGCAAAGAGTTTCCATCATTGGATCAGTTCCTGGAGAAGGCATCCAAACGACTCCAGAGACGACCAGTGAATCTCCGGTGACGACCACTTTGACGCCAACCACCGAAGAGTCTCCGGTGACCACCGAAGACAGTGATAAGAAATTGGATGACATTGAGGGCCAAAACAATGAGAATTCAGGCCTTATTATAGCCAATGCTGACGACGAGGACGACAGGAATGGAGAGACGGGCGAAGAAAAGACGAACCCAAGACTCGTATTCATCGAGAGACTAATGGGTCTTCACTTAACCGCTCCTCTCAATGGCCAGAAGGAGGCCGAGAGAGACGACAACAGCGCCGTCGACTCCGAGCCACAGATGCCCTTCAGGTCCGCAATTCATAATATTTTACACTTCATTAAATGCACTGTTTTTTAAACAAAATATAAGTATAGATAAGATGTTCAATGATGTGTTGACCCGATTATAGACATTAAGAAATAGAGAGTGTTTTGAAACTCAAGACAAATTATAAACAATTGAAAAAATTCTTGAAAAGCTAATGAGTTGTTTTGAGTTGTTTTCTGACATCAATTAAATTATTTATAAAAATCTATTGTTTATGAGTTTTAAGCGAAAGCTATAATTAAAAATATTTTAGGAATTGTTCTCAAATGAAAGGTTCATTTAATTTGAAACAATTATACGAAAGCTATACTTACAGTGATTTTAAAAGTTTTAATTATAAACGAATTAAATATATTTGCGATTAAAAGAAAATTAATGGTTTGTTTGAATGATAGTATGGATGGGTCACGAAATTAAACAATTATACGAAAGCTATACTTACAGTGATTTTAAAAGTTTTAATTATAAACGAATTAAATATATTTGCGATTAAAAGAAAATTAATGGTTTGTTTGAATGATAGTATGGATGGGTCACGAAATCCGTTCGACAAAGTGAACGCCAAATGGTCCACAAGAATGAGAAAGTTCTCGATCCCACTCTTACAACAACAGCAACAGTTCACACCTCCAGAAACACCCAACCCTTTGCTCAGAGTGGCCGCCGCGGCGATGATGACCCGACTCCTGGCCGCTGCCGCTCGGGCTCACAATAATGGTATACACGGGTCGCACGAATGACCCCATTATATGCATGCATTACAATCAATATATGGATCATCTCTTAGTTATAATGAACTGAATTTAATACTATCTTAAAAATTGATGAAACAATCATTACCTTAGATTAATTTGAATGAATTGATGATAACTTTAATGATATATTGAAAAACAGGTCCAATGATGGGTAAAGACAAAGATGACGAAGGTGAAGATGAAACGGTTCCCATTTTGTTGGCCAGTATGCGATCGGATGACAATAGAGAGCCTCCGATGTACGGCCGACCAATGCCCAGACCACCGATGATGAGACCCCCGATGAGACCGCCGATCAAAATCATTGGTCAACCGCAGCAAAGGATGGGTTCCGTTAATATTCCTCAACGCATATATTCGGCACAAATGATTCCTCAAAGGTCTCCAGTCGTACAGCAGAGAGCACTTCCACCGTATCAGCCGGTGATCGTCATGTTGGCTCACGTACCCATGCAAATGGCTGAGTCACGTATGGGCGCCTCTCAAGAGCGATATAACGATTTGGGGCCCTATTATGCCTCTCAACCACAACAGCATTCAATGCCAATTTACCCACAAGTGCCGTACGCTCTCCCCATCGGGTATGAAATGCACATCATTTGACACACATTTGAATTAAATGACTATTTCAAACACAGATACCATCCGATGCAGCGACAAATGGGACAAATGGAAATGCCCACTCCTGTCCACATTCCCATTCCCGTCGCTTCATATCATAGACCTGTATATCAATCTCCATATCAATCATATCAAAGGGAACCAAATCAATATCAATCTCAATACCCGTCTCAATATCAGAGACAATCGTCGAGACCTGTGATAGAGATTCCGATTGAGATCCCGATCCCAGTGCACGTTCCGGTGCCCGTCTCCTATCAATCACAGGGTCAGCCCCAACACATGGGCGACGATCACGACACGTCCGCCTCTGAGGCCGAACAGGTGGCCATTGTTTACTACGATCCCGACAACAACAACAACGGCGACGGCATTAACGATAGCGATGGCATCGACCACATGGAGCCGCACACCTCCGAGAGCCACGAGAACGCCTTCGCAATGCCTCCGAAGGGCTTTCAATACCTGTCGCGTCCGCTTCCGGACATTCAGAGCGCAACCAAATTGAAACTCTGGCGCGAATACGTCGGCGCCAAACACGCGGCCCAACCCGGCGTCCGATACATACCGGTGGCCGTCAATACGGCCGACGACTCGCAGACACTGCCCGCCGGTAATCACGATAACAGCGATAGTCAACCAAATCAAGACCAGTCGGAAGCGATGGCTGAATCACATTCACAGCCGGCTTTTGTTATATTGACTGATGACAGTCCAGATGGTCAGCCCATCGACGCACCACAACATCACTGAAATGCACACATCATTTCAAAACACCATTAAATCTCTCTTTTTATCTCAGTATTCAATTAAATTTAGAAAATCTTTTCTCTAATATTGTTTTAATTAATTTAATTTAGACTTTAATTCAATTTAAATATATTTTTTGGCAATAA